GGGACTTTATGGTTTTCTGCATCTCATGGAAAATGATGGGCAAAAATATTCAGAGAACAGTTTGTTCAGTGTTGGAGTAAGTTAACTATTTGAGAATCTCCAGAGTATTAATTTAAGAGAAGGATGCACTTTGATTTATAACTCTACATGACAGTAGAAAGCATTATAACTCCAAAGAGTAATGTTGACAATGTGTAGTGATACTATCTCTTCTTTCTTGTTTCACAAAGAACATTCACTGGTTGCCTGATTATGCATTTTTTTTCAGTACACATGTCAAAGAATTCAATTTGGAAACATTTCTCTATGTTTTCCACAATGGCTTTGCCTATTATTTGGCTGGAGAACCAATGGATTGAAGTTGGTTTTTTCGCTGTTCATTGTTACTTATTGCAGTCCCATAAATGGTTGTCTACTTGAGATAAGTCCCATGACTTTGGATATAACATAATAGGTGTAATACATGTAGTTGTTTATGGTGCAATTGAAGGGGCAGAAGTTTTACTTTTCATGAGTAGACTCAAGTCAAATTCATAACTTGATACTGATTCACTTTGTAGCCCATAGTGGGTCTTGGAGTGGCTAGAGTTTTGGAGTCAAACAATCCAAAATTCAACAAGGGTGATCTGCTGTGGGGATTGACTCGCTGGGAAGAATACAGTGTAATTGCTGATCCAGAGACTCGCTTTAAAATTCACAACACTGATGTGCCTCTGTCCTACTACACAGGAATCCTCGGTCAGTGCCTCTGTCTGATTAGGTTTCCATTACAGTACACCAGTATCAAAGTTACTTCCTTTTCTTATTGGAGATTTCCAGCATTGGATGTTCGTTATCTTTAAAGGCTTTGTGTGGAACTTTAGTAAGCTTTAGCAGTCTGATTGAAGCACTTTACAGTTGTTTACTATGGTAGGAATGGGATATACCTCCTTTATGTATAGTGAGCTGTACATGATGTAAGATCTGCTCTTAAGGGAACTGTCATCAGAGAGTGATCAGGAATTAGGTCCATGTGTTAATTGCTCGAGTCTTTTATTTATGAATAGTTTCACTTCTTCCTTGAACCTCTTTATCCGATTTAGATGCTACTACAATGCCATATGCTTGTATCTCTTGCCACCACCTGATGCTAATTTTTCTGGAGCTGATCTTCTATGTTTTTACCATTACTGGTGTTTCTAACGTTACCTTATTTGGAATTTCTGGGACATTCTTCAAGGATGGGACAGAGAAACATGTTTTATTTACCTCAAGCAACTGAATGTGGCTGCAGAACCTTTTACTTTGATGCTTCCAGTGTTATATCCCTACCAGTTTGCCATCGTGGCTCCTAATTTTTTTAAGACCTCCCCCCCCTCTTCAATTGTTCTGCTTTGCTAACAGGTATGCCTGGCATGACTGCTTATGCTGGTTTTTTTGAGATTTGTTCTCCGAAGAAGGGAGAGCGTGTATTCATTTCAGCGGCTTCTGGAGCTGTTGGTCAGCTTGTTGGACAATTTGCAAAGGCTTTTGGTTGTTATGTTGTTGGAAGTGCTGGAACCAAAGAAAAGGTAATCTCTTAAGACATCTGCATGGTCAATTTTCCTCTTTTTTGGGTTCAAGAAAGCAAGCCCGCACTTTGTTAGCTGCCATTTAGATCATTGGAAACCTTGTATCAGTTTCAGTGAGAACCTTATTCATGTTTCTGTTGAAATGGATTAATATAAGATTGTGTGAGTATCTTCTAGATAAACTGAATGTTGAGTCCTTTTTCTTTTCTACCATAGACTTTCTTTGCGTACAAATTGCGAACCTTCAATTCTATAAAGAATGCTGATGGTCATTACAGGGCAGTCTTGGTGAAAGCTACTCTGAACTGATTATTAGTAGCTTATTCTAACCATTCCATATCTGAAGGCAGTCAAGCATTTCATATTGTTTGGATCATCTATTGTCTGATTCCAGTGCTAGTTGTACCTATGCTTCATGAAGCAGCATATATTCAGATAGCATCCATTGAGCATCTAATGATCTGCTGTACCAAAAACAAGAAAGGAAAAATAAATAAATTCACCCTTCTTACTCCAGGCATCTTGCATGATTAGCCTGAATAATGTTTGCAAGGGGAACTTTTACTTCATATTTGTCTGTTAGAACAAACACTGAGGATTCTTAAAGCTAGCCACATGATATCACTGTATGCCTATTGTTTCTTCTCTCATCCTGCTTTATCTTGTTTCTTTAAAGGTTGACTTGTTGAAGAACAAGTTTGGTTTTGATGAAGCTTTCAACTACAAAGAAGAGCAAGATCTAAATGCGGCTTTAAAAAGGTCAGTCCTAATATACTGGCTGAAAAGTTTAGATTTTAAAATCTACTTTCTGACTCCCCAAGGCAGTTTGTTCTGAGTGGCAGGGCATTCACTTAAATGAACTGTGTATATGTGTCACCTGGTACATGTGTACCTTGAGCTCGAAGCACACTTCTCCAAGTTATCAACATTCAATGCAGATCTTAATTTGCCAGCATTCATTCTTTTCTTGCATGTCATGTTGGCGCATTAGAGGAGGATGATTCTGTCACAGTCAGTTTCTTACTTTGGACTGCTCAAAGTAAATCAGCATTCCTGACTTTCTATCTTTTTTCCCTTAGGTACTTTCCAGATGGCATTGACATTTACTTTGAGAATGTCGGAGGAAAGATGCTTGATGCCGTGCTTCTCAACATGAGAGTCCACGGTCGCATTGCTGTTTGCGGATTGATCTCACAATATAACCTTGAGCAGCATGAAGGCATTCACAATCTCTTCTGCCTGATCACTAAGCGAATTAAAATGGAAGGATTTTTGGTGTTCGATTACTATCATCTCTATCCAAAATTTCTGGATATGGTTCTACCCCAGATAAAAGAAGGGAAGATAGCATATGTGGAAGACATAGCTGAAGGCCTTGAGAATGCCCCAAGTGCCCTGATAGGACTCTTCTCAGGTCGCAACGTTGGGAAGCAGGTTGTGGTGGTTGCTCGTGAATAATGTGAAACCTATTCAAGTCTCTGTCAAGTTTACTTTCTTTGGTCTTCTCTAATAATAGACAAGAATCTTTGATGATTTTGTTGTTCAAAATAACATCATTTCAGTTGTCTAATTACGTCTACCTTTGATTTGCTAAATGCTCATGTAACACCTAAACACAGTTTTGCAACAATGGAGAAAAGGATGGTTACATTAACAAAACTAAGTTGCTGGTAAAATTCCCCTTCAACAAGACGAAGTTGGATGACTATTGCACAGCCAAGAAATTGCAATATCAACTATCTCAAAAGTCAAATGCTGGTCCATTCATTATTTGATTCAGTGAGTTTAATGTGATCTATTCTGGCACAATCTGTACTGATAATTAAGCTGCTGTTGACCAAGCTGACATATTTTTTGTGCAACACATTTTTATAGCTACATAATGACTTGGAAGTTTGGTGCTAAATGTGTGCTTACTACGTAATCTTGGAGATAAATTGGGAGCTGAAAGTGGGATACCAGAAAACCCAGGAAATCTGAACCATTCAAGTATGTGGGGATCTATGGGGCTTAGCCTGGCTCATTGAAATGTTTTTAAGTGTAATTTTCTTGATAATAAAAAGGTGTCGCCCACTAATTTTTGTATCAAAATCTTATCAAGAAAAGGCAAGGTATTGATGTAATTCTAGGTGTGTCACGCCTTTAAAGAAGAGGCAAGTGGACTTTCATTAGTATATAGGTACCAGAGCGCGCCTTTATCAGCAAGAGAAGGAAAAAGGTTTGAAAGCATGATCGTTCGAGAATTATTTAGCTTCACACTTTAGAAGAGGTGCATGAAACACCTCCAATTTTCCACCCTTTATGTGAAATGAAATGTAGAAAATAAACAATTCTGACAGCCATAGTACAAAAAAAGTAACATATAGTAGTCTTCATTGCTTGAGGATCCATCTCCTGTTTTACTAGCAACTGTATTTAAGAGAGCTCAATTGCTCAAACTAGCTGCAGTGTTCAAAGGGTGCTATTGTTGGTAAAAGATGGCCAAATTTCTTTACTTTCATTGTTTGAAATTTTGAGGTACATATATTACAGTTTGCTTCTCTATATTCTTCCTGATTAATAAAGCAAATCTTGGAAAACCATTTTAAGAGTAGGGGCTTCACACCATGGTTGCATGATGTGCTTGGTAGTTAAAACTTTAACTCTAGAGGGTTTCTAGTGGTAGTTAGCTCTATTTGGGCTTACTTTTAATCTAACAAATATAACAATTTGCCCATTTGAAAACTGGAAAACATAATTATTCTAAAATCATCTTCATAATTAATCAAATACAAAAAAGACTCTTTAGATGCTGAGCAAATGCAATTGATCCTTAAGGGTGCGTTTGGTTCTACCGAATTAGAATTGAATTAGAATCAAAATTCTATAGAACTGAAATTCTATGAATTGGAATTCCAAGTCATTCCAATTCTTTCATTTGGGAAATTCATAGAATTGATATAGAATTTATTTGGAATTCCAAATTCTTTGTTTGCATGAGAGAAGAATTCATTAGGAATTAGAATTGTTTTCAAGAAAATTTGCTTACATAAAATTTTTCTTTTTTTTTCTTTTTTCTACATAATAATTTCTTTTTTTCTTACATTGAGCTGATTTTTACTAAAGATTTAAAAGAAAAAACCAAGTTGTGCCTTTAATAATTTATTTTTTCTCACTCTCATATCAATTTCTTTGGTGAGCATTTCCTTTAGCATGTTTTGATCCATTACCCCTTTTGTGAAGAAATATTTCCCCATCTCAGCCGTGGAATTTTCAACTGTGTTTTGATATATTATAATAAAGCAAAATTCTTTCTTATTTCTAATACTTATGCAAAATTCAAAAAAAAATTCATCAATCATAATAGCTATGCACAACTAAAACTCAAACTCCTCCATTAAGTACCAATGGCATGATAAAACTATGAGAGAGGAAAACTTTGAAGCAATTTTTCACTCATGTGACAAAAACTACAAAATCAAGAAGCAATATTTCATGAAAAAAAATTTAAGGAAACAATCAGTTACAAATAAATCCTACATATGTAACAAAAACACTTGATCAAATGCTTCAACTGTATACACCAAAAAGCTAAAAACTACCAGTTACAAATAAATCCTAACTCAAGAGGCCAACTGTATAAACCAATTTCTGTTTCCCCCTTTTCCACTCCTACTCCAACTGCCTCGCCCTGTTTCTGTCTCTGTTTTATGTTCCTTCAGTAAATAAATAAAAACTTAAAAATAAAAAAAATCCAGCCAAAAACGCATATCTCCAAATACCCCTTTGTCTATTCATATCAATTCTTCACTTAGGTAGCTGCGCATTGAACCGTAAGGAGAGTTGATAGCCACAAATTGTATATGTTCAGGCATACCTCTGCGGATCAGAGGTTAAGAGAAAGTACTTCAATGAAGCAACAGACACAACATTTCAACGCCCAGTTTTGGGACGTTTCATTCCACTAGTATTGAATGGTGACACGCTGCCACTTGGTCCTGGACTCTCTTCTCTAAAATTTGAGTTCAGCATGGCTAGTTCATGAAGCTGCTACCTCTTTATATGGTCCTGAGACTCATCCTGCACGAAAAGAAAATAAGGAACATCAGTTGAAACCAGGTTAACTTGATTTCCATCAAGGGTTCACACCAGAACTTGTGATGACATTTACTGAGGCTATACACAAATTTTCAGCTGGATTTGAATATATGGTTCAGCGACTGAACTTCATGGTCAAATTCATCTTCTCATTCTATAGTTAATTGGACTTCAACGTCAAAAAAGAGGGGTGAAAAGAAAAGAGTAACATCAATTATCTCAAGTAGTTAACTTATGCAATTTGAAGAAAATTATATAGCATACCACAAGCTTTTGATTTAAATAATTGAACTCAAACCCACTCCAGTCACAGCACCACAAATTAGTGAGAGGAAGCAGAAACAAAAGCAGACCTTCAATCATTAAGAAATGCACAACTTGACCAGAGAGGTTAAAATATCAATTATCAAGATAACTAACAGCAATCTGCAGAGATAAGCAAAACATAAGCCCATGGTCAAAAATTTTCAGAAATTTTTTACCACAGGCGAATTTCCTCCTTTACAGAATCTTTGGCATCATCTGTAGTAGTAACTACGAAAGGCAGCCTGGATCTCACAGTATTCAGAACAAGGACACGCTTAACAGCCACCTGCAAACTTAAGCAATTGTACTAAAATCACCAAAAAGAATAATCATCCAGGAGCAAATCCAAGTTAAGGAAGTAATAAAACAGCGGTCATCAGTTAATAGAATTCATCTTCCACAATCAACTACACATCATAATTCCACAACCAACTTTCCAGAAACTAAGTAAATTGCGGAGCACTGAGATAAAGAACTCATCCATAAACATATGATTCTAACATCAAAAACTATTCATTACCTTGATTGCAGAAAAGATTTATCATGAGCTCATTGATCAAATCAAAGAGAAATCAAGAAATAGAGATACAAGGAACCGAAATCAAGTAAATTAACCCCATTAACCAAGTAACAAGGAATCAGTCAAATTAAAATAATACAAAAAATGAACTAATGGAGAAAAAGAAGAAATTCTTACCAGAGCTAAAAGGATATGATCAATCCTCTCTTTAATTCCGAAATCAGGAATCCAGTATCTAGACAAAGTAAAACACGAAATATAGACACGATGATAGTAAAAATAACAAGTGGGGAAAAAAGAAAAAAGAAGAAGAGAAAAGGAAACTGAAACCAACTTTATCCACGCATGACAATAAAGTCTCCGTCTTTGAACAAATTTGGTGGCCAATTTACCAGTATCATAGTCAAGTTCGACCATAATTCCATCACAAATTTCGAGCTCAAGCGGAGAAAAGCGGTTGAATTCGCTTTCACCTCCCCGGAATATACGAATCTCCAAAGAAGAGAGCACTCGGAGGGGTGGCAGGAGTGGTGAAGGGTAGAGGGATGGTCAGAGGAGCGAAGGGCAATGGGGGTGATGGTGGTGCGAGAGGCAAAATGTTGAAGTTGAGATGGAAATGGTAGTGGAGAGCAAAAGCCATTGAGCCGAGCAAAAGCGATGAATTAGATAGAAAGAGGGACGCGAATAAACTTGACCCGATTTTTATTTTTTACCCATATTGGATCCGCGTGTAGACCCGTTTTTTAGGGTTTAGACGTGGAATTGGAATCAGAATTCTTTTGGTCTGATAAAGAATTCAATTCATGAAATTGGAACCTCTTGAAATTAGAATTCAATGCTAATCTATGGAAAAGGCAGCATCCAACATAAGAATTAGAATTAGGGTTCTAATTCTAATTCTAAACCCCAATTCTATGGGGTACCAAACGCACCTTAAGTGCAATTTTCTACAAAATAAACATGTGTCACGCAATAAATTTTGAGTTAAATACCTTAAGCTCTTCAAATGTTTGGTTTGATTTGCACTTTCGGATTTTTGATGTGACATTGTTTTTCTTAATATGATTTATTTCTTAGATCATTGTATCTAAAAATAGTATGCAATGTAAGATATATGGTTCATTTTGCTAATTTTATTTCTTTGTACTTATCTTTCAAATGATTACAGACATTTTCAAGACACAAAAAAAAAATAGGAGCAATTAAAAGAATAAAAAGATTTGGGTGTGTTCGTGTTGAAGATTATTTGTGAAAAAATTTAAAAAAACTATAATATTTTCTGTGATGAAATATATCTGAGACAAAAAAAATGAACCTAATAGAAAGATGATTAAAAAAATGTGTTTATGATTCTATTTTTTTCAAAAAAAATCACCAAATTATTGATTGACAAATTAACAAGGAAAAGAAATTTGGCAAAAATTTTCCTTGAATACCTCCAAATGCCTAGCGTCATTGGTTTCTTTTTTCCCCACTAAAAACATGACAAATATCTAGATTTTGGTCAAAAATTTTTCAAAAAAAAAAGCCACGAAGGCCCCCCTTCCCCTCTTCCACTTAATTCTTTCCTTTTCCAATGTTAGGTTTACAGTTCATATAATGTTGTACCCTCAGTTTTTCTAAGCTGCCTAATGTACCTAATGACCTAAGTCGGGGATTTGGCATGATTAATATATATATATATATACACACATATATATATTGGCTTCTACTGACTCTTGTTTTTGTTTTGAAGGTTGATTTGCTGAAGACCAAGTTCGGATTTGATGAAGCTTTCAATTATAAAGAAGAGGCAGATGTAAACGCGGCCCTGAAAGGGTCAGCTTCAGCTTTGCATGGTAGTTGGAAAAAATAAAGATTCAGGACAAAGCCCTTAAAATTTACTTCTTCTATGGAACCATTGCCCGTTAAAACAGCATTTTTCATGATGATCAGGACTTCTACTCAAATAGATCATGTCGATGCATCACTGAGCAGTATCTTTCAGCTCAAATCAACTTTGAAGATCATCAAGATTGAATTCATCCTTTGAAACTTGGTAGGCTTTTATTTAATTAGTTTCTTGTTTAAATATGACGTAGGTTTCACTCTGCAAGGGCATCTTCTTTTCTTGCATGTCATGTATTTCATTCTCCTATATCACATTCCCATTGGCACTGCTCAAAGCAGATCCACACTCTTGACTTTCTGTCTTCTTTTCTTTAGGTACTTTCCGGTTGGCATTGACATTTGCTTCGAGTATGTCGGACGATAGATGCTTGATTTGATGTTGTGCTTTTCAACATGAGATTCCAAGGCCGCACTGTTGTGTATGGATTGATCTCACAATATAACCTTGATCAGCATGAAGGTGTCCACAACCTCTTCTGCCTACATATGGAAGGATTTGTTGTCTTGGATTGCTATCATCTCTATCCTAGGTTCCTGAAAATGATACTTTCACTGATGAAAGAAAGGAAGATGGCATACGTTGAAGACATAGATGAAGGCCTTGAGAATGCCCCAAGGGCCTTGATAGGACTCTTCTTAGATGAGGTTGTAATCGAATCGAATCGAACTTGAGTAGTGCACTACTCGAACTTGATTCGAGTTAAAAAACTTGGACTCAAACTTTTTTATTTTTTTTGTTCACATGGGAGAGGACGACCCTCTTAAGCAGGGAAAAAACGCGAGGTCGCGGCCCCCAAAATATCTGCTTCAATCAAATCCCGCAATTCCTGTTGAGGTTCAGTTAGAATCTGCATCCCTTATTCTCTGTTAACACTCCTTTTATCTAGCCAGTCTGCGCACCTGTTCCCTTCTCTCCAAACATGTTGTAGTCTACATTCCCAATCCCTACGTGTGTAGCTCCTGATGAGAAGTATCAGATTGGATAATGGTGATTCCGAACCTGCTCCTTGTATTATATCCAAAGCTGCCTTTGAATCAGTTTCCAAAATCAGTCTTTGGGCCTGTTTGGAACCTGAGTTTTTTGATAGTTTGTCTAAAACTTTACTGTAGTACACTAGAAGTTTTTAGAAAAATTTTTTAAGATGAAATTTTTTCTTTTTCTTTTTCTTTCCTCTCTTGTTTTCCTTTTTCTTCCTTTCCCTCCTCCTTCCCTTCCCCGTCACCTCTGTCCCGCCGTTGAAGAACCAGCAGATGGTCACCATTTTTTTTCCTTTTCTTTCTTTTTCTTTTTCTTTCTTTCCTTTCTCTTTTCTTTCCTCTCCTCCTCTTCTTCTTCTCCCTTCCCCCTTCCCCGCGACCTCTGCCCCCTGCTTTGAAGAACCAGCACCTCTGCCCCAGATTCTCTCCCCCGGCACCTCTCCCTTCTCTCTCCCCCGGCACCTGTGCCCTCTCCTCCCTCTCCCTCTCTGCCCCTCTTTTTCTCTCCCCCGGTATCTTTCCCTTCCCCTCCCCTGCACCTCTGTCTTCTCCTCCATCTCCCTCTCTGCAGCCATGGAATTTTTTTTGCTTTTTCCCTCCCGTTCTCCTCCCCTTCCCCGCTGCCCTCTCCCCTCCCCTAGCAGGCCCATTGTTTGGGATGATTTGCAATTTGCTCTCTGATGTTATTTTTAAAGCGCTTGGCGCATAAAAGGGAGGCAAGTGAGAGGGGCGAATACACAAATAGAAAAGGAAAGTGGGAGGGGGAAGGCGGCGGGGAAGACAGAGGGGAAGAGGAGAGGAGGGAGGGAGAAAGAAAAAAAAAAGAAACACCAAGCACCAACAGATCGGTCGCGCAAGGGGAAGAGGAGAGGGAGAGAAAAAAAAAAAAAAGAGGAAGGCCGGCACTTGTGGCCGGAATAGTGACCGGCGCCGGAAGTGGTGGTGGAGGTGGTGGCCGGCGACGGAGGACACTGTTGGGTTGGGTGGGGGAGGAAAAAGAAAAAAGTTGAAGGGAAAGTTTTTTGTGTATTAGATTTGAAGTGTGTAGGTTAAAAATTTTGATAAGTTTTTTGAGATTCCTGTAGCAAAAGTTGTTAAAAAACTAGTAGCAAACAAACTTGTAAAAAACTTGAGGTTCCAAACAAGCCCTTTGTTCCCCAGAGTTCCAAGCCATTTCTAACCCTTTAAGTATTGCCCATAGTTCTGCTGTCATATTATCAGTTAGCCCGAGACTCATTGTAAAACCAGCTTTCCATCTCCCCTAACTATCTCTGAGAATACCTCCAGCTCCTGCCCTTCCAGAGGTATGGTTTGCAGCTCCATCCACATTCATCATGCACCAACCATCTGGAGGCTTTTCCCATATGAAAAACTTTACTTCTTTTCTCCCTAGATCATCCCTCCTAAGTATCGCTTCTTTGGCTTGACCTATGCGTCAGCAAATCTCTTCTTTCTTGATATCCAATTTTTGCTTATCTCCTGTGGCACAAAAGGAATTTCTGGCTGACCATGCAAGATACATAATCTGTTAGAATGTCAGCTGCCATTCCTCTTTCCCTTCCCTTCCCTTCCAATCCTTCCATCCTTTAGATTCCAGTCCACCCAACCCTGCATTGGTTTGTTCAAAAACTCCTCCCATCTATTTTGCCTGACAAACTATTTCCATATGCTCTTTATCCATCCACAGTCGCGGACAGCATGGATGGTTGATTCAACCGCAGTTGCACATGTTGGACAGTAAGTCGGGCTCAGTTTCCTTTTAGTCTTTTCCTCTGGCTTTAATAGTTTACCATGCCTCACTAACCAGAGTAGAAACTACCATCGTCCTGGACCTTGTGTTTTCCATATCTTCTCCCAGCTTGCCGACTCCTCCTGCAATTCCCCCTCTAACCAATCCAATTCATATGCCGACCTGGTGATGAATACCCCCTTTGGCTCGAGTTTCCAACAAAGTCGGTCTGGGTTGTCTGCACCAGGGAGGATATAAACGCCTATAAGCTTCTATCTGCTCTGGTTTTAGCCAAGATCGAAGTTTATCAAGATTCCAGCCATTACTGTTTCAGTAGTCCTCTACCTTTTTCTCCATTTCTTCCTCTGGTATTTCCCCCTCTATCTCATCCAGTAGTGGTTCATCCTCTAACCACTTATCCCTCCAAAATCGTATTGTCTCTCCATTCCTAATCTTCCACTGCACTCACTTCTTAAGTAATTCGCTGCCCTTTGCAATGCTCTTCCATACATGGGAATCCCCAACCCTAGATGAACACTTGATTCATGTTATACCTTGCCATACTTTCCTTAACCACTTTCTCCCACAAAGCCTGCTCATCCTTAAACAGCCTCCAGCTCCGTGTAGCAAGCATTGCCACATTCACTTTCCTTATTCTTCTAATCCCTAAACCTCCCCTCTTTTTTAATTGAGTCACTGTCTCCCAGTTGATATGGTGAATCCTCTTGATCTTCTTATTATCCTCCCAAAGGAAGCCTCTAGCATACTTCTCCAACTCATCCAGTACCGTCACCAGGATTAATGCTATCTGCATGTGGTACATTGGTATAGCAGACAGGACTGACTTAACTAAGGCGGCTTTCCCCGCAAATGATAGGGTTTTTCCAACCGGCTAGCTTCATTCTGACACGGTCCAACAAAGGTTGAAACATGCCTTTAGTAACTCTCGAGTGAAAAAGTGGAACTCCTAGGTACTTTCCAAGATTCTTTGTCTCATTTATCCCTATAATCTTACTTATCTCCTTGACTACTGTGCTTTTTACATTCTGCGAGTAGA